ACATCGAGTTCACGAGGGACAGTGTTTGCTACTGCCAAGGCCCCCATCTCCTTTATCAAAGGCTTGGTAATAGATAGTCGTGAAACAGAAATGAAGTCTGTTCGCTGGTGCATATTTACGTTCAGGCATCAGATTTCTTTGGAAGAACAGAAGTCAGTCTCCCCATGTGGCCATTGTTTTGCAAAAAATGCTCTTGGAATAATAATGCAACATGTCACAATTTCGAGGCGCTATTTCTTAGAGAAGCTGCCCCATACAAAGTGAAATGGTACTTGGGCAGCCATTGCATTTCCCCCTTGAATTTCTTTTTTTTATGACAGTTTAAAAATAATTCCCTGCAAAAAGTGCATTCTAAAGACAAAAAAAACCATTCTCCCGTTTGCCTATTCGAGTGTAATTGAAATAAATCACCACTGTTAACCATTTTCCATCTAAGAACAGGAACAGGTAAGATTCATTTTTTTCAAAAATGGTATACTGGGAACATTTTTGGCTTTTTCTCAAAAAGTATCAGTCCAGTTTCTTAGAAACTTATCAGTCTTGTGGTACCTTGTAATGTACCTCCTTTGGGGAAACTACCAAAATATACCTGCAACCTGTTATTTTTTATAAGCTTTTTTAAAATGGTAAACCGTGATGGTAAAGTGTGGCCAAGAGCATTTGTCCAATCCAATTCAACTCTATCACTTTTTATTACGTCAGAACTTTGAACAACGATGCTAATTAGTCAGTTATAATGGGGCTTTTTAAAAATTTTCCCTGAAAAACAATAAGCAATAAATTCAGATGAACTGCTAGTATGAGTATTTTAAAACAATCTTCAAACACACAGCTTACGGAGAAGCTGCCAAACACTACAGAGAAACAAATCCATAGAGAACAAAAGCAATTTCAAAGTTGCAGTTCAAATTTCATGATACACAAGTTACAAACTTTCATACAAAAAAACACTTTTAAGTTTTTTCGAATTATTATTTAGTTCTATATCCATCATTTATGTCTAGAGTGCTCAAACGTTCATGCATGCTTCGAATAGTTCTATCTATAACAGTTACATCAAAGTCACTAAATGCCTGCAAACTTCTTCCTTTAAAAGTCTGAAAGTCCTCTTTCACGATTTTTCCTCTCAGCGCATCCTGTCACAAATTATATTTTAAATTATAAAAAAAATTTTCAATAGGATTCAAGTCCTGTGATCTTGCTGGTATCTCAACAAGTTAAGCACCCACTTCTTCTAAAGCATCTTTGGCCAATTTGCTCCTTTGACTGGGGCATTGTCCATAACAAATAACAGATTTTCCTACTTTTTCATCGCTGCACATTCTCTGAGAGTTCTGTCCAATGTCTCATGCACATATTTTGTGAACCACCATCATTCATCTTCTTGTACACCTCTGCAACAACAACCCCTGCCGAATAGGAAAAACCAACCAACAAATGTAGCATACGCCCTCCCGGCAAGTTCTTTGATCCTTTCCTTGTAAACACAAGGCCCTCTTTTTTTGTTCTCCACACTCGTCCCCTTGGGCACAAAGCATCGCTATACGGATTTTGTTTGTGATGGAATGAAACTCTGTCCAGATAGATCAGAACATCGTCTGTCCAAAAATTTCTGTCATGTTTCTTTAAAGCATCCCTGGCATACGATACTCTCTTCCTCCTATCCTTCGCTGACAGTATACCCTTCTTTCTAGGATTCAGAAACCTATATCCAGCATCATGCAGAGCTCTTACCAAAGTCCTGTAGCTAACATGTGTGATCTGGCATTCCTTTGCTACATCCATCACTCTGATGTTTCCATTTGTTTTTCACATCTTCTTGAAAGTCCTAAGAAACCTTGCCTTGTCTCTTTTGCTCATCAGTGGTGGTCTACCTGTTCTTTAATTATCTTGTATAGTTAAGGCCCCTCTTTACATATACAGACCACACTGGAAACAGAAATCTTGCAATGTTCCGCTATTTTTCGAAACAATAAAGACCTTCCCTTAAGCAAGTAGCAGGTCAAAGCTCTTTTTCTGTCACTAATTTTACTGTGAAACACCATGCTTGTTAAAGAGCAACTCAACAACTGCTTTTGATACTTATTAAACGATAAGCTAAGAAATAAAACGCTAATAAATAAGCTTAATTTTCCTGTTTTTCAAGTTTTGTTTTTTCCCTTGCAAGTCTGATGAATTTTCAATATCTAATTTCGAAAAAAACAGAGAAGAATTTGAGGAATCGAAGTAAACAAGTGAATAATAATTATAATATCTCTAAAATTCGAAGAATAGCTAAATTATGACTTTCAATACTTTAAGTATCAAATTTTATTTGACGCCAATGAAATCAGCACCACCAAGAACCCCTACCCCCATAACATTAATTTTCATGCAGCTAACGGTTAAAAAAAGCGCTCAGGCAATCCTTGCCAAAAGTCTTGGTACACCAAGCTAAAATTCCGCATAACTTCAGTAGCATCCCCCTCTCCCCCTCGAAACAATGTTGAATAACAACATTTTCAAAGCTTGAAATTCGTCCAATGTAAGTTTATCATCTAGGGTAAGTAATAGGCTTTTCAGCCAACATTGTTTTTGGGGGGAGGGGGGATATTTCTGTATCTTACAGCCGGAAACCTTTATTTCTTCAAAATCTTTCATTGGTCGCAGGGTGTTCCAAGGACTTTTGGCAAGGATTGTATGTTATAAATGATCTGCCTTACTTTGAAGTTCCAACAGAATGTAAAGTCCTGTTCTATGTGCTCCAGTTTTCGTTTAATTTGTCAAAAATATTAAGCTGTGCCAGTGCCCTTGCCTCATAGAGCATATACTTAGCAAATGTGGACTTTGGGAGATCATGGACATTGACTCCAACAACTTTAAAACATTTCCTAATAACATCTTCAACATTGCTCATACCAACACCTAAACAAAGCAGATCTTCAAAAAGCATTTGAATATCATCAACATATTTCCCATTTTCTAAAAAACAAATCTCATCTTCCTTCAAAAAAATATTTAATCTTTCCTCAAATTCCAACTTCTCATTCTCTAATTCAGTTATTATTTCTTTCAAATCATCAATCTTTGAATTAAATATATTGGTGCTATTTTCAAAAGATTTCTTTCTTAATTCTGTTTTGTAATGAGATTTCATTTTTTTGTGCACATAATTTTTCATGGATGGCTTTGTCTAGATTTTTACTAATTCAACAGTAAACTAACAGTAACAGTAAAATTTCCTGGTTTGTTAATGGAAATTTTTAACAATCATTTGGCAAAACAACATTCCCTTTGCAAAAAGAGTCTAAAATATTCAAGCTGGTCCCTCTGCTTTTCAAAACATAGCAATCAAAGGTTTTGCCTGCATCAGCAATCTTATGAAGGGGTTCATATATTTTGGAAAAATTATTCTTATCTTTTGCAAGAGTACTGAAAATAGACCTTTTAAGATTGCTTGGTCTTTTTATTACCTTTCCAACCATCTCAACATTAACATTTAAAAGAAAAGAGCAAACTTCAAGAATGTCTGAGCGAGGCCTACCAAACAATTCCAAAGATAAGAAAATTTGGCTCAGTAAACCATAGCTGATCTTAGACACCACTGGATTCCATCTAGAGAGGAATTTTCCCTTCGCTAATAAATAAATCAAGGTCTTCATTGGTCTTGCATATCAGCTGACAGTCAGCCATTTTGCTGTCTGCCAATATTAATGTCTCTTATCCTGCCGAAAGAGAGAGAGGTGTGGGTCAGGATTGTGAGGCGTAACTTATACCTAAAAAAGCTTCCTCCTACAGACAGAGAAGGTAAATTAGTATGTTATTGCGACTTAAAAGCCTCCATTATGCCAGAAAGACACTCTCCCTTCCACTGTTTACTGAACTGCCACAACAATCCAAAATGATTCTTGGCATGTTAAGAGAGTGTTCCATAAATGCTGATTATTTCTCCAAACCTATAACTTGGTCTCTGAAACAAATTTCTTCCATTAATCATATGTGAAGGCGTTAAAGGAAAAGAGATACCTTCAGTATCATCAAAAATGTATGTTAATGGCCTCGAATTGATAGCCCCTTCTATCTCAACAGAATGGTACATAATTCAACATGACTTAACATAGCTCTGCCTACAATTTTTAAAAAGCATCTTTTTACACTGCGGACTAAGTGTTCCCACGTGCCTCCTTCCCATAGACTTCTAGATGGGAGACACAAAGTGCCCCCCCCCCCCTCTGTAATTTCTTTTTCCCTATAGCTGGGACGATAAACTTTGTTTGGATGGTACTCTTATCTATTCTCCACATTTTAGTACTATTGTTCAATTTTTAAGTCACATGGTTTAACGATGACGTCACCATAATGGTGGCCGGATGGAGCAAAAATTTAGAAAATTTTTGAAAATCTTAAAATATTCATAAATTCCGAAGCATCTGGCTAAGATTTTAAAATAAGTAAATTTGATGCATTTTCTAATAGAAACAAGAAGAATGACACAATTTTAATGTTATTTTACATATTTTCTATTTCCCTATAGTTCTTTCTATATAACTAAATGATCGATACAACCAAATGTCATGTTTAAGTTAATTTAATCTAAAGCAGACAAATTAATTTAAACTGCCTTGGCTCATACCATCATTTTGCAGTTTTATTAATGTAATACCTATAAATATGTCAACAAATGTGTGCGCATGCGCAGCAGAAAAATCATAGAAAACAATGTTGAATTTATATTTTCTGGTCAGAATCATGAAAAGAGCAAAAATTAATGCCTAGATACTAATTTTCATCAATATATCTACTTTTGTTGCGAATCCGTGGCAGATTAAACTTTTTTTTCTTGACTAGTTTTGAAAACACCCCTACACAACCCCCTGATTAACAAAAATAAATAATATTTTTTTATATGAACATGTGTCAGACAGGTTAAAACTAAAAGTCAGGAGGTCTGAGGGGTATTGCTTTGAAACTTCTGAAATTATGAAAGAAAAAGCAACTAGGGGGACACTTTGTGCCCCCCCCCCCCCCCCCTAGTCTGGATAGGGTTAATCCACATTTCGCAAAGTAGGAGAAAAATTGCTCCATGCTTTCTCCAGTGGATAAAGTGGCTTCGTCTTGGTAAAATCCTCCCCAGACCAACTAGAAAGGAGAAGATCTGGATCATTTAGCTCAACAACTTCAAATCGTGATTTACAAAAAATACAGAAGAAATATGGAAGATCCTGTGGATTTCTAACTGCCCATCAATAATTAAATCTGAAATTAAAGACAACTGGAGAAAGGAATCATCGAGAATTGTACCAGCAGTTTATGAGCAATAAATTGTTCGGGTAAGTATCTAACAATTAGATTGAAAAACAATTTAAGCATTCAAATGCTAATGAATGTTTCAAGCTTTTTATGACAGAATACATACGGCAATCAAAATTCCAAATTTTTCGAGAAATATTTTGTCCACTTCACAAGTGCATTCTTGCACCTAAATCCTTTTAGAAGCTATTACCTGACATTCTAAAGGATGTGGTTTCAAATGCATCACAGAGAGTGCTTTATTCGTATCAAGTAACGCTGACTTGTCAGGGAACTTGGAAGCAACTTTCTCGAGCCATGGCCAGTATTTACACATTATGTCTTGCCATCCGTACTTCACCGAAAAGGAGTTGGTGCAAAAAAAGAGCATAACCATATTGCTCGCCAGCAAACATGTTCACGCCTTTCAGAGCCAGAACGTGGCGACAGCCAGCAACAACTAGTCCTGTTTCATCCAAAGTCGCATAGCTTTTGCTTGATTTGGATCGAGCAGCTTTCCAATACGAAGATTGGCACATTTTATCGTCTTCATAATCCTAAAAACAACAGACATTCAGGCGATATATTCTTACTTGCATAGATGAAAATTTTAAAATAGCTTTATTTCATGACTAGATCCATATAATGCAAATTTAGTACCACTTGACTTTCCATTTTGTCATACAAATTCTCCATGTAATGCAAATTTAGTACCACTTGACTTTCCATTTTGTCATACAAATTCTTCATGTGCGCTTGTACCTTCGCATCGTTTGCGATGAATTTGTCACCCTATAGGGATACACAATTTCCGCTTAAAAAGAGTAAACATATTTGACATAATTGAACTTAACTGTTTTTAACAAATACCAAAGCGCGTAAGCTAAATTATAGGCTTGCAAGTTCTTGATTACAACATTTTGCATACCATATTGAATCTACAACTCACACCTACAAGAATGGTATAAATGGAAAAAAGATAAAGAAATAGAAAACTCAAAAGAGAAAGAATCTTAATTGTGACCAAAAGAGGAGACATCAGCTGTCACATACATCAGCATCATCACTTGTTTACATATGACATTTATGCCCTTCTGATCCTTTTTCTAAACCTTTAAGTAAAAAAATGTGTTCAGGAAAGTGGCACTGCTTTTAGCCACTCTGCTGAAAGTCACACAGGTTAGAGTCACAAAAATTAAGACCAAGATATATCAAACAGTATTACACTCTATTTAGAGTCATGCTGTGCTTACAATCAAAACTTTGTACGAAGAAACAACTGGTGTGACTAAAAGCAGTGTCTACCAAAATTACCGTGGAACTTTCTTAAATCAATATGTTTTACGAAGGCAATCAATGTGTATAGAGTGGCAAACATCAGAACAAACTGGGCACACAAAATCATCATTTCCATTTTGAAATTTGATGTTGCTGGAAACAAATTTCCACTTACTGAAGGCTGTTGAAGGCAATCAATGTGTATAGAGTGGCAAACATCAGAACAAACTGGGCACACAAAATCATCATTTCCATTTTGAAATTTGATATTGCTGGAAACAAATTTCCACTTACTGAAGGCTGTTGAATTTATTGAACTTTGCTGAAAAAAATTGATTCTGATTTCAGCCATAAAATCCATTGCAATATCAAAAATGTAAATCAATTAGTAATCTTTTGATGAATGAAATGCACGTCAAATCATTAAAAGATCATCATCATCATGCTAAATTTCAGGTTTGATTGACTCTAGGTTACATATATAATGAAGCATATGTATGCAATCTGGATAAGAGTCTTTTTAAAAATGCACATTCCTGAATGATTATGTCTATATTATTGAGATAAAATGGTTTATTGGCTAAAACATTCTGCCTTCCAAAAGACTGTCAATCAACAGAGTCAAGCGCATTTATGGCCTTTTTTATTTTTTTAAATTTGAAAATTTCAATAAATTTTCAGCCTTGAATTTTCATTCTTTCGCTTACCTCATTCCTTTGAAAATTTTACAAAAACCCTTAAAAAGATTATATCAAATCCTTAAGTTTCAAGAAGCACATCTCTATTGCATATATTGCAAGATTTAGCCTGCAAACAAAAAATTTGTGCATTCCATTTTCAGAAATTTATATAAAAGTGGAAAAGGGACAATACTGACTCTCCCAGACATCTTTGAAACATTTTCTAGGCTTCTAACGAAAGATGATAGGGATGTCCCAGGTGAGTTCATGCTCAAAGAATCCCAAAATCTCAACAAATCTAAGGAGAAAAATGTTGTTGCCCTCTGTGGAGATGCAGGCAAATAGCCAGCAATCAGCATTGACCTTACAGTGCATCCTGATATGATCAATGAGCAATTTGTACAGAAAAAGTAGGCTTCATTAAACTCGTAGCGACCTTGAAGGAGAAAAAGAAAAATTAATATTAAATAATTAACTCTATTTTATCCAGAAATAACTAGTTTCAAGTAACATCTGAAAGAGCCTCCTAAAGTTTTGCTCCTTTGTAGAAAACATAAAAACTACATTTAAATCAGGATCATAGCTATAATTTTTAAGGCAAAGGACTCATGCCCACAAAACATTATAAAATTTTTTTATTTCAAATGAAAAACCTATTTTGTTCCTATTGCTCTAAATAATGTCACCAATTGTTCTATCCTACATACAAGTCAAGTAATTGTTAATTTCAAATAGTAGAAGGGCATGGACTTTTTAACAGACTGTCAGTTCAACAAAAAGCAGCAAAGACAATCAATCAAATGATTTACAATCAAATAAATCACCTTTCATGGTTATTATTTTTATCCTGGATTTTGTATATCTTTGCTCTATATTGCAAGTACTGGAGGCAGGGCATAATGATGGGTAGCTCACTGGAAGGGGTCTATCTGAAAAATTGAAAAACTTTTTCTTCAAACATGTTCTTAATGTAATCAATATAATCATAGCATCATAATCATGCTCCATGTTATCAGATCAAAATGAAAGTTCTGGCTTAATGTGATAAGCATCAAGAAGTTTTTTATAAAGGGATTAAGCAATTGTACTGGCTTGCTAACTTTCCAATGCTAAATCTCTAAACCATACCTGTCAGTTATATTAAATGGATGGCATTTAGTGTTGTTCCTCATTTCTGTCTGGACCCTTTAATCCTGTTGTCTTTTTTTTCTTCCTTTGTCATCATGTGTACTAAACTCAAGCTATTGGTAGGGTTATGTGTGCCCACAAACATATATTATATAATGGGCTTTCAAAAAATGCAAAACCAAAGAGAGAACAGAAATTTTAAATCACAAAGACAAACTAACATCTCACATACCAATTAATACAATTTCACCCTCATTTATTGTCACAAGATTACCAACTGGCTCATAAAAGCCATTGATCCAGGTATCCCTATCATGGAAGGGAAAAATGATGTGCTCTGTTTCATCACAGCTGCTACACAGCATCTTTCTGCATTCCGTGCAACGTATAACAGCAACATTCTCTTTGCATTTTGTGCAACACATGGCACTTTCTGGGATGCTTTTGGTTGATAAAAATGCATCAAACAAATCATTCCTCGCAGATGTCCAATTCTCCTCTAGTACCTGTTTCCGTTGAGTCCACTCTGTCTCTTCAGAGTGGCTAGCTGGAAACTGTGACTCAATATCCCTTAGATTCAGCAGCAGGGCGTCTCTATTTTCTGGTTCTAACTCTACATAATTATAACATAACAGTTAATGTTTAAGTATTCTGTGAGTAACTTTAGTGAGTATGATTATTTGTTTGAAAATCTTAAGAAGGGGCTCAAGCCAACAACGGTATATTTTCAATGTAGAGCAGATGTTGTTAAAAAATATTTTCTCAATTCAAGATACAGAAGGTCAAAAAGATGCTTCAAGTTATTGAAATTTGTTATGGAAAAGGACTTTTTACAAGTTTATGTGTCAATTGTTGAGATCCATATGCATCATTTTGACAAAGCTAATAATACAAGGCCCTTTATAAAAGCAATATTTTTATTTTCATCCTTGAGTCACCCCTGGGGAAATCAAACAGGGATTAGCAAGTTAACATAGACTGTTACTTTGTGACACCATTGTATAAAGAACCTTGCATTCTTTGTACTATTGTGAGCCTACTTTTGTGATGAAAAGCGACATAACATTTTTAATTACAATTGTATATAGCTTTTAAACTCACCCCACTCATCACTAAGAGCACTTGTACTTTGTTCCCTTTCATCACAAACATATTCATTATCCACATCATCATTGTCACCATCATAACTTGCAAGATCTTTGAATGTGAAAAATAAAAATTGATGACTTATCTTCTAGATGATATATCCTGGTACATGCATAAATGGCAAAAAATAGGCATCATATTTGTGGAAATTTTAAGTAATGAAATGTTTTCTGGCAAAACTAAGAGACCTTATCATAAAGAAAAAGCTCCTTGTAATCATCAGCAATCGTAGCAACATATTTTGGAAGACAAGGGTACCAATTCAAAAATGTTGGGTTTTGAGTGTTGGTATCATCATAGCGTAAAAAATTATCGCAAATGAATTGTGAATATTCCTATTAGAGAGGACACACCCTCTTCCCTATGTTTTGCTGGCTTTTATTTCTTTTTTCTGGGGTAAATTTTGCGTTGTTTTCTCTGAAACTGGCCGGTTTCACAGTTTCTTCTTACGTCAACAACAACGACTGATGGTGACTGTCGACTAGAACAACCGGGAAGATCAATATTATCGAGATCTTTCAATGATTCTTCGAAGGATTGAGTTTTTTGTCTCCTTTTTCGTGGTTTCTGGTTGTTTTGTGTGCTATTATTAGATGACATAATGCCAAATTAAAGGCAAGCAACCCGCAGCTTTAACGATAATCGATCGCCATTACTGCAAAATTTCGTTGACAAGCACTGCGCATGTGCTTCTGACCAGAAATGGAATGGAATATATACGTTGTGTATATTTCTAGGAGATTTGCAAATATACATAACATAAATTTCTTTCATGAGAATGGGTTGTTGCGTGTGTGGTATTGCTAATGAAGATAACGAACATTTCCTCCTGCACTGCCCCATTTTTGAAGAAGCACGAAGAGATCTCCTTGGCAGCTTGTCGGATATTCCTGGGGTTGATTTGGCAGAACTGGATACACAATCCTTATGTCATTTATTACTTTTTGGAAATCCAGGTCTGACCCTAATCGCAAATAGACTAATAATGGAAGCAACAATTAATTTTATCAAGGCAACCAAAAGATTTGGCTGAGGTGTGTGTTTGGGCTGCTGGGGCCGGGTCCCCTGCTTGTGGCGTGGTGGCCTTGGGATCCCCTAATATTTCGGGGGTTCCAATGGCGGGTGCGCTTGGGACTGGGCTTGCTCCTAGTGGCTTGGGGCGTGCTTCAGATGTAATCAAAGCAGCACCCCTTTCCCTCAACACTGAACAATTGTCTTTGAAGAATATTCCTGTCTCGCGCTTGATGTCGGGTGATACCTGCTGAGCTCTGATGGCGGCGTGGGTGCGTGGTGTGGCTCCTTGTGCTTGCGTCCTTCCAACTGACATTTTGTTCTGCGGATGTTGCTCCCCGTCACTGAGTGTAAGTCCGAATGTAACATTTTCGTTGTTGTTCATTCTTTGTTTGTATACTTTGTTTTATTGGCTTTTCTTTCTTTGAATATTAAATTCAGATTGTAAGTGCCCGTCCTTAGAGGGAACTCCGATGACCCAGTGTCTATTCCCACCAGGATAGGCACACTAGTTGTATTATGTATTATTTAGAGTTTTTAAGTGATATAAAAAAATGTATGCATCAATTTCATTATGGACTATGGCTTAATTCCAAGAAAGTGCATAATTCCAAGAAAATGCAGAAAAACAGCACAGAGAGAAATAACAGGATCCTTAATGGTACTAGGTCCTCATTCTCAACAATGGCTTTCGTGTAGGGTGTTATCTCTCCTCCCCTAAATAACTTATTGATTTGTGAATTTGGAAAACCCCCGTCATCATGAACAGCGCCTGGCAACTTGATGATACTGCTTGTACATTGAAAAAATCTGCGTCTTTCTTGAAATTTGGCACAAAGATCATTTAATTCATCTTCGCTTTTGGCAGCTATATATATTTATATATATATATATTTTTAATTTATATATATTTGGACCTAGCTGCCTTGCCATCACTTTGCAAACCTCTCTAACAATATCTGAGACGGGTGCTCTTGAAATACCAGAAGCATTTTCTAGTACTTGGTATGTTCCTTCACCAGAAAGATAATCCAGTGTCACTGCTACTTTCTTCTTGATGTATACAGGGACATGCATGTTTGTTACCTGATCACTAAGGTCCTGATCACCAAGATCACATGTTTGTTACCTGATCACTTTTGCTCTACCACACTGCTTATTTTTGAGAAAATGTATATCGAACTTCTCTGTGTTGTGGATCTTTGTTGCTTGGGAACTTCTTATCTCTTTGGCAAGTTGTGATTTTCATCCTCTGTGATAGGCCTTTTCTGAATGTTATTTCATCCACGTCGTGGCTTTTTCTGTTTTGGTTTGTCACCAGCATGCCTGGGCAGGTTGTTTTGAACAACTCATTTCTGATCGTCTCTATTCTGCTCGTAAATCTCAAGGTACTTTTGTAAATATCCACCTTTCTCAGCAATGGCCATTATATGGCAACACAATCCATTTGTTCTTGCAAATTGCTGGCAGAGACACAAGTTTATAGCCGGAACACATTTTAACTGTGTAAGCAGTGTCTATGTCTTATTTCATTAACTCTTTCCTGCCTGAATTTTGCGTGCCAAAGTCTCACCGTGGGACTGGCCGTTTTCAAGCCTATGCAGCAGTAGCATAGTACTGCAAATAATATACGTGTGCAGTAGAAATTATGTTAATTTAACTACCATAAAACTTTTTCACTTGTTTTGCAATATCTCAAAGTGTCATACTTTCAAAAATTTTCAGCAAAATAGCCTTCAACATTTTCCTCAAGCGGTAGAATCAAGCAAAAACAAAAAAAACAGGTCAACCTTTTTCACCATAAATCCCAAATAAACAAACTTTATAACAAACAAAATGACAATTAATAGCACACTGTTTGTAGGTAAATGTTCTGGTTAGTAAAAAAATGTTTGATAGGAATGGTACTTTAAAAAGCAATTGTCTTTGCAGAGAGGGATATCACAGTGGCTGCATTTCCAGAATGTCTCCCTCGGCCTTCTCTTCGGTGTTTTCCTGTCGAGGCGTTTGCATTGAATGCACTCTTTTTTTCTACCTTCAATTTCACAAATAAAGTAGCCATATTTTGCCTGTTCCCTTATGGTTCCTGGGTCGCATCTGTTGTAGGAAATGTTCCTTTTCATAGCACTTTTCCTTCCACAATAGCCTCCGATCATCTGCATAGCAAGAGATTGGCAAAATTTCAGGCTGCTCCTTCGCTGATTCGTTTCTTGAGGCTGGAATTCGTTCCACAAAACCATTGCGTTTCCAACCGAAACATCGAAAAGAAACCAAAATATATATTTATACCATCGATGACCTGTTCTCCCAAGTGGATAATACGATTGAAACTGGTCTGACAGATCGATACTGATCATATAGGCATTGTACAGGCAAATGACGGCCGGCTTCTCAACTACCTCTTGCACGCCTTTCTTTCCTCTGCGAATAATGTTTCTAGGAGGCTCAAAGGGGGGAAGAATTCGTAGAGAGAACATTACTTTCCCTTTTATCTTTCTGTGTTGTCAACATTAGGTTCGATTCCCCTTTCTGATGGACAAAATATGTCCCCTTTCCCCATTTTCTTTCCATCAAATTTTGGTAGGCCGTTCCTGTTTCTTCTTACCGTGCTACAAGCATAAGTTTGTTTATCAAAAAACAAATCCTCCATCAGCTCAGGAGACGAGAAAAAATTGTCAAAGTAGGCATGGTGACTTTTGCCATGATAAGGTTCAGTCATATTCATGACAACATAATATCCCAATCCTTTCCCAGTCTTGGCCTTCTCGTTCTTTACTGAGGTGAACTTCATGGTTTAGCACATAGCTATTTTGTGGATCCGCACAAAGCCAAACTTTCATCCCATACTTGATTGGCTTCTGGGGCTTATACTGCTTGAAACCAATTCTTCCTTTGTAGGCAATCATTCCCTCATCTATTGACAAATTTTTTCCCAGTTTGTATGCTTTTTTGAAGTTTTCCCATGTATGCTCGAAAATATGACGAACTTTGAAAAGGCGATCATATCCCTGTTCAATTTCATTGACATCTTCCCATATTGAACACTGAGCAGTTCAATTTCATTGACATCTTCCCATAGCCGAAGGCGTTGCTCATTATCGCGAAACTTTTCATGTGCATTCCGATTTGTTTCTTTGACTTTAAACTGCAACAAAGCTATAGTGAATATTTTTTCAAAAATGTCAATTTCACGTTCTTCTTGAGGGTTTAATTGAAACATTGGACCTGTTTCTTCCTGAAATTCGAGACAGTTAGTATCGGTGAGGTCCCTTGTCCATGCGTTTTGGCCTAACACATCTCCGACTTCATATCCACTTTGCTCCTCTTCAACAACGTCAATATCACTATATGACGATGCTAAGTCACTGAAACCACAGCCGATCTTACTTCGTCCTCTGCAAAGCAAAAAACTCTTCTTTGTCACTATTTTCCCCAAAAATATCTGCGTAATCGCGTTTCGTTATGAAAGATGGTTCCAAGATAATTTTCGGTTGAGATTTGGAAATTTGAAGGTTTGTTTACGTCATATAATATTTGTCAATAAATGCACAAATGACTGTTTTGGATTTGTCAATTATCTAGCTTTTGTTCAATTACAAAAGAGCAACGATCTAGCTCATTGTTAGCCTCTAAACATGGACACAACCAGACCTTATATGGGCGACCAGTTTGGGCCGGTATAGGCCATAAAGAGGAAAAATATGGCGGCTGGTTTTGGCCGATATAGGCAGGAAAGGGTTAACCTAGGAAAGTAAATGTCACTCTGAGTAAAAGTAATTTCTATAAAGTATCGCTAAAAACTAACTTACAGTGACTTGATGTTATTGGCTTTTGTTTGAGGCTAGAATTTCCACCTGGAAAGAAAGATACCATATTTACTCTAATATTCCTGCTGAGGGATTAGCCTTTCAACCTAACAAAAAATGGCGGGATAATTTGAGAGGCAGGTATATTGGAGAGGCAGGATTATTTTTTCAATGCCTTGAAGTCTAGTCTGAGGATACCGTTGCAACAAAAAAGTCTCTTAAACATGATTGTGGCAAATCAGAGAAAAAAATTACAATTTCAACATGTAGGGGGGGGGGGTTAAAATTAATTGGGGGGTGGGATATTTATTTTCGCAGACAAGACAGTGCAGATATTATGCTTTATAGACAGTAGTACGAAGTCAAAGAATCAAATGTCTTTTTATGCAGCGAAGCTTGGATGTTTGATAAACTTACAAAATAAGACAGCTCTCTGCCCTTTCCCGTCTATAACATTATCATGTGATTTAGCCCATTCACTCCAAGCATAAGTTTCAATGTGAAGTAAAGAAAGCCACCGACACCTCAAACAGTTGGCTGTAGACCGGTTTCACCCCATATCAGGGCTCATCAGTACAGCTAGACTGAATGAGGACCTAAAGCGGACCTAGGGCCAGCAATTAGGCTGTCAGTGGCAATGCATGTGGGAGGTAGTGTAAAGAGGAAAATAAGTACGCATTAGTCTTAGGCTGCGTTCACATTGCACAAGCATTTACTGGCGCCAACTTTTGCGTCGCGATTTCTGCAATACTAACCCCTTGCTGTGCTCACACTGGCCAATTTCTGGCAAACGGAAATTTGCAAGTAAATGCTGTAACACTGGTAAATGCTAAACGATAGCTGACAGATTTGTTAAACGTGCGATGGATTTCAAGCTCCTCATTACCGAAATTGAAAAAGGCCCGCAATATGGGATCCAAAGAATCCAAAACATTGTAATCACCTAGCAAAAGACAATGAAAGAAGGGAGAGAGAGGAAAGTGACCCAGACCGATTATTTTTTTAAAGTTTATTGCCACTCAGTAGAAAAGTTCCAGAGAGGGAAAAGATAGATTGCATATACAGGCCCTGGGACGATTAAAATAATCCATATATACTCTAGATTATCCAAGAAATATATAAGAACATGACACGATTAATAATAGATCAAAACAGAAAATTGTTATTCTTAGCAGAACAAAAACATTTGTTACCTCTATGTTATAACCAGTCTCTCTTCCGCTGAAATTGGTTTTTGAAGTTTGTTTCCTGCTTCTCAAGGTAGGGCACAATAACATTCAAAACAATATTGAAAGTTCTTTCTTGCATCCTAATGTATTGAAAAATTTTTACAGTCGCCTTTCAATTGCTGGAAAAGGTGAGGGTATTCTCCTAGCGTTCTATTTATAGGGTGAACACCAAATCTGCGTTTTCCCGATATCTTAATCTCTAATGCATATTCATATGGGGGTTCTCTGCAAGTCCTAGACGATACATTTCGGAAAGGATTATAAAAATCGAATGAAATGTTGATCGCATGCACGCATTAAAAAGCAGCCAATGTGAACGGAAAATCGTTCGCAAAGATGGGTTGCCACCT